GGGGGCCAGCAGCTTTACGGGGCTACCTGGGATTGGCTGTTTCAAACATTCGGCTGGGAAGGATGTGTGGGCATTCAGTCTAGCCTTTACAGAAGCAGAAACAGATGAACTTTAGCTGGGGGCTTTGTTCTCTCCCAGAGCTGGGTCAGGAACAGGAGATTAATTTGGGCAGTCGCCTGAGGCTGGAGTGGTCTGTTGTTTAGTTCCTGGAATGTGAACTCTGCTCCAGGAATGAGATGTAGGCTTGGGGGACAAAGGGTCCTGCGCCTGCTTCTGTAGGCCTTATAAGGAAACGTTGGACACATCTGCCATGTAGCTAGCTCTCTATACATGGATATGTAGGACTGATCTACCAAGCAGGTAGCTCTCTGTATATGAACATATTGGCCATGTCCGCCTCATTCTCACTTTACATATAAGAAAACTGAAGATTCAGTTCTTTGCCAGCTATTAAGTAGTAGAGTCAGTATTCAGTGTGGTCTGTGACGCCATGCTTTGCCTCCTTGGGATCCTGAGAGAACTGACTGGGTGATACAGCTGTTCTCTGATGGGGTTTGATAGTACTCAAAGCTTGGTTGAGCTAGCTTGGGACAGTAGCCCAATCTGGACAGGAATAGGGGTAGGTTACAACTGTCATAACTTTAAAAGGTATAACAAACCCTTAACATGTTAAGTCATATTGTGCTTGGTTTTCAGATTCTGGGAGTTTAAATCATTTGGAGTCAGCAAGTGGTGAATAGAGTGAAAATGTTACCTTTTTGAGAGTTGGGGGATCTTGTAGTTTATGATATGATGGGACTTCTAAGCAGTTTAAGGTTTTGGACAGTGCTTCCGGTCCAACAAGAGATCTAGGTAGCAAAACAAGAAAATGATGGTAAACTGCTAGCTCATGGAGGGTTCCTTGATGATCTTGGTATATATTCTAGGTTGGATTCTCTAGAGAAGGAGAACTAGGGATTTTTTATATCGTTGTTAGGTGCCATCAAGTCAGTTCTGATCCATAGCGACCCTATGTACAACAGCACAAAACGTCCTCCTGGTTTGGCACCATCTTCACAATTGCTGCTACACTTGAGCCCATTGTTGCTACCAATGTGCAAATCCATATCTTTGGAGGGGTTCTCCCTCTTTCCCACTGTCCCTCCACTTTCCCAAGCATGAGGTTCTTCTCCAGGGACAGGTCCCTCCTGATAATATGTCTGAAGAATGAGAGACGAAGTCTCACCATCTTGGCTTCTAAGAAGCATTCTGGTTGTACTATTCAAATGCAGATTTGTTTGTTCTTCTGGAAGTCCATGGTACCTTCAATATTATCTATCACCATAACTCAAATGCATCAATTCCTCTATAGTCTTCCTTATTTATTGCCCATCTTTCACTTCCATATGAAGCTATTAAAAATATCATGACTCTTGAACATTTTAAAGAGGTCGTGTGCAGCAGAGTTGCCTAATGCAATAGGTTGTTTGCTTTTTGTTGGCTGCTGCTTCCATGAGTATTGTTAGTTGATCCAAGCAAAAGAAGTCTTTGACAACTTCAATCTGTTCTCCATTTATCATGATGTTATTTACTGGTCAAATGATGAGGATTTTTTTTTTTCTTTACATTGAGGTGTGACCCATACTCAAGGCTATGGTCTTTGATCCTCATCAGTGAGTATCTTAAGTCTTCTTCACTTTAAGCACGCAATTTTGTATCATCTGCATATTGCAGGTTGTTTATGAGTCGTCTTCTAATCCTGATGCCATGTTCTTTGCATAATCCAGTTTCTCAGATTATTTGTTCATCATACAGATTGAACACATATGATAAAAGGATGCAACCCTGGTGCAAACCTTTCCTGATATTAAACCATATTCAGTGAGCCCTTGTTGTGTCCCAATGATTGCCTTTTGGTCAATGTACATATACCTCATGAGCACAATTAAGTGTTCTGGAATACTCATTTTCACAGTGTTGTCCACAGTTTGTCATGATACACACAGTCAAAAGCCTGTGCATAGTCCATAAAGCACACCTTTCAGGTGTCCTCTGCTTTTAGCAAAGATCCATCTGATATCAGCAATGCTATCCCTCATTCTACATCCTGTTCTGAATCCAGCTTGAAACTCTGGCGTGAAAGTTCTTTGTCAGTGTATTGTTGCAGCCGTTTTTGAATTACCTTTAGCAAAATTTTACTTACATAGGATATTAGTGATATTGTCCAATGATCTCCACATTCCATTGGGTTACTTCTCTTTGGAATGGACACATATAGGTGCCTGTCTTGGCCAGGTATCTATCTTCCAAATTTCCTGGCATAGATGAATTAGTGCCTCCAGTGCTGCCTCAGTTTGTTGAAAGATTTCAATTAGTATTCCATCAGTTTCTGGAACTTTTGCCAATACCTTCAGTGCACATTGTACTTCTTTCTGTAGTACCATTGGCTCTTAATCGTATGTTACCTCTTGAAATGGTTCAAG